ACTAAATATTATAAAAAAAATATATACTTACTATTTTAAGTTTTTCAACACCTGATCCAAATCCATATATTAAAAGATGTCCATGAGAATCTGTTGCTGCTAACATTGTTCCATCTGGAGACCATTTTGCATCAAAAACAGCACCATTACCTTGTCCTTCAATAAAATTTTGAAAACACGCTATTGGTTCTGTATTCAGAACATCCCAAATTATAAGTTGTCCATCATGTCCAGCACTTAATATAACACGAGGATCTATTGGATGAGATTCTAACACAAAGACTTCATCTTTATGTCCACGTAGAATTTTCACTAATTCACCTGATTTTGCATTCCATACTTTGAGACAACTATCATTTACAGCTGTAATAACCCATTCATCGCTTACATCCCAACTAACCATAGTCACTTTAGCTTTTTTGTTAGAATCATCCTCTGTTTCTGATTCTCTGGAAAATTATAAAAAAAATATTTATTAAAATTATATATAAATATATAATAATTATTTCTCAGAAATATAATATTTTAATTACCCAGGAAGTTTTGTAGTCATTAATAAACGTTTATACATCCATTGTTGTTGTTCAAAATGCCATACATTTGCAGTACCATCTTTAGAACCAGAAATAAACTTTAAACCATTATGCGCCCATTGAATACTATCAACTGTATCAGAATGTGCTTCAACTTCTAAAACTCTACATGGACCTTCATCTCCTAACATTGAATATACTCTAACATGATGATCTGCTGAACCAGCTGCCATAAATGCACCACCAGGACTAAATGAAGCACATATCATTTGTGCTTGACCTGGGCGCATTTTTTCATGATATTGAATTGGTTTTGGTCTATAAGAAATATATATTCATGCATATATCTATATATAATACTTAAAATATTTAAAATAAAATTTTATATTTTTTAAAAAATATATAAAATTTTATTGGAACCTACTGAAAAATTGCTCTTTCATTGCCTTTTTTTGTATGAGACCAAAAAGCAACAGAACCATCTGTACTTGTAGAAACTAAATAATAAACACCATTGCAAGATATAGGACAAAAATTTACAGATGTAATCATACCAGAGTGTCCAGAAAGAACTGCAACCTGATAAAAAATTAAGAAAATAAATTTAATAAAATGATACTTTATATATTAAAAAATTAACATTCCAATATAAATATAAGATATTATTTATATAATATAATATAAGATAATATAAGATAATATAAGATATAATATATCAACTTACAGGAGACATTGTTTGAAAACACCAAACTCTTAGTATTCGATCTAAACTACCAGCAGCAAGTAAAGTATTATCAAAATTTACTGCAATATCCATGATTTCAGCAGATGCTCCTCGAAAAGTTGCTAATAATCGTCCATCAATAGAACTCCACACTTTAACAAGCAAATCATCTGCACCAGTTATGATATATTTTCCAGTACGATCAAAAAGAACACAATATACTGCAGATAAATGTCCTAATGTGTGCCTATATAACTGCATTTTATTATAAAACTTTGTTGGTATTGCCTCTCTTCTACTTAGAGGACCTGAATTTTCTCTTCCTTGAAGTACATGTACTATATAAATAATAATATTTGAATGAATAATAATAATAATTATATAATAATTTTTATAAAAATAAATATTTGATTTACCTATATTAGGCACTAATAAACTATAAGGTGAATCCAAAAATGGTTTTCCACCTAGTCTGCCAGAATATGAAGTAATAGTATGCATTTGACGTTGGACATCTATAATAAATTTAAATTATTTATAAAAATAATTTTAATGATTATTTAAACATATTTATAACTTCTTTTTATTATATATATTTATAATTTTTTACCTTCGTGTGTACGCAACAAAGATTGTCTGCCAGCTCCTAAAAGAGATATTGCTCCTGATATACATGGAGGTACTTCTTTTTCCAATACTGGTCCAATTCTGGCACATATTTGTAATAAATGATTTGATCCAATATGAGAATATTTCTTTTCCTAAGACATAATTTTTGATTTTGTTTTATATCTTATTTTGTATTATAGACAACAATATCATGTATTTTTAAATATTTATTAGAAATATTGGAGAAAAAAATGAAAATTATATTTTATTACATTATTGATTCGCGCTAAGAATTGAAATTGAAATAATCTAAAGTAGTCCCTATTTGTAACCAATCAGAAGACAAATAAGCAAACGCCACCAATGCGAATAATCCACTCGTCACGCACGATACTAGTTTCTATAAATAAGGTCTGAACATGAGATATATTCATTGATCAGTGCGCACAAGATGGCCGGAAGTTAATGCTTATTGGTTGAAAGTAATATGGTGGGGGAAACTTGTGCAACGACAACATAGAATTAGAGAGGAGAAGAAGGAGAAGGGTTGAGGAGTGGGACAGAAAAGGGGTAGCACCCTATTAGGGGTACTTCATACATTGGTATTTGATGACCAGCTTACAATGCAACGAAACAAAGTTTACTATAATGTTATTCCAAAAAATATCCTATTTATTCCGTCATATATGATGAATTTTTATACACGAAATAAAATTTCCGTCAAAATATTAATTTTACTTACCAACTCCTCAAAGGTTTGATTATGTACATGCCCTTCCCAATCTAGTCTTTGCGGCAAAACCTATGAAAAAATTAAAAAATCATGAAAATAAGTCGATTAATCGATCGATCATACTCGAGATAAGATTGTGCCAATTTGTCGAACATCAAGGTCGCCGACCTTGAAATTCTAATGTTTTGACAAGCAGAAACCACGTGCAAACCATGTGGAGCCGATGGGTATGTATAGTGTCACCCCGGCAAAACGTCAACTCACACCAATCGTCTTACCTTAGCTCGCTCCAATTCACGCTTCAACACCTAGAACGTACATTTTTCGTTATGATATATTACAACAAAATTTTACAAGTTTTACTTCGAAAATACTTACATCTGCGGCCTCACGACAAGGTCCCGCCGCTAAGAATTTGGCAATTAGGAAGTACAGCTCTGTAAGAAAGAACGCTGCTTAGGAACGAACCGCACGCCTCGCTTCGTTGCGGATGGTAAGGGCGCTTATCGCTCCCATTCTTTACCTGGTGCTATTACAGTCTCGTTCTTCGCCACGCTGTCCTCCATTTCGCCTGATCAATCGTTTATTATTCACTCACAGACAAAGAGAAACATTTGCTTTTTAGGGTCATAGCGCGGCAGTAACCATTTCAGATTTCATTTTCTCTCTCGCGATGTCTCGACCGCGAGACGCACACGCACGCTCACCTCCTCAACGGAAAGTAGTCCCCCCCCCTTCCCGATTGTCGACACAACGTACCGTATTATACAGGGACGTAACTTGTATCCCAAAACCCTGTATAATTTTATTTTAATTTGAACTTCTTGAAGAGAAGGAAGGACTGTCTTTTTTTCTTTTACATTTCAATAAAAAATAAAATTAGATAATTCATTTTAACATTACTATTATATGTTTTAATTATGTTTTAATATGTTTTTTGTTTAAAGTTTTGTATTACGATAAAATGTATATGTGAATCATCTGCACTATGTAACGCGGTTTATTTGAAATTAAAAATGCAGTGATAGAAACAGTGATTATAAGAAATATGAAAAAAGCAAATAATCTTGAAATTTAAATATAACATAAAGCAGGTTATATATAAAATAAAATTCATCATAATTATTATTGTATATATTATTAAATATTAATTATTTATTATAATTATAATTTTTGTAAAAGAATAGAAAGAATAGAAATTTACTTATAATGAAACACTTATAATTTTACAGTGATTCAAATAATAAACAATGATTTTATGAAAATATTATTAATAAAAAAATATTAATATTCTTATATACATAATTTTCTATTTTCTTCTATTTAAATTTTATATGTTATTATAGAATATAAACATGTTAAACTAATTTTTTAATTTTAATCATATATGTTTTAATAATATGGTAATGTTTGCATTTATTTTGTAATATAATAAAAATTTTCATCTATTACAAAATTAAATTCTGCTTGTGTTTACTATAAATAAACATTAGAATTAATAAATATAACATTATTTAGTATTATTATATGTATTTAAATACTTACATATATTTAAGAAGAATAAAAACATAATATGCATTTTTTCACAAAAGCTAAAACTTCAAGATGGACGCTACGTAACTCGAATAAACTCGAAATATCGATGTGTAACGATATGTGTATATATAAGTACTTGTATATATAATATATATATATGCGATACCACGTAATTTTCTGAAAGTTTTCATAATTTTTAAAAAATTATCAATGAATATAAATTATTGAATTAATATATATGTTATAAAAATAAAAAATATTATATAATAAATGATAATAATTTTTGTATAGAAGAAATATGTGTTTTAAAATTCTTACACAATTAAATGCCGACGTGTCAGTAAGATAATGACAATAGATTTTTTCATAAAACATGACGTGTTGTCTAATATTATTTAACATTTTTATTAAACAAAATTACAGTAAAAATTTATATTAAGTAACATCATTTAATAATAAAAAA